TTTCTCAAAATCTAGAAATTATACTAAGCGATTTTCACATTCAAAGGAAACTCCGAAAAATTTCACTCTGTTTCCGATAGACTAATAATCAATGAAAAACTCAAATTATGTATGGAGAATTATAGGAAAATAAATTATGCACTAAACAAAAACACTAGAGTTTTCATTTATTAAAACACCATTCGAAATGCAGGAAAATCCTCTGTATTAGGCCCTTTTCAAATGTTAGGCTAGATTTTTGTTTTAAGCACGCCCAGATTATCAAAAGGTCAAAATCTTTATGCTCATTAAGTTTCAACGGATTTTAATAAGGTTGTGCGCGTATTACTATTCGACATTGAGTGAAACACGCTAAAAAAAAATTAACATGAAAAAGTTGTTGTTCGAACAACTTTTTTTCCTTAAAAGCGCCCACTTTGCGATGTATGAAGAAAAGTTAGGTAATTATATTGCCTTTCATGAGAAAAAATATCAAGCAAATCTGAGGGGTACCATTTTTGGGAAAATGACTTTTAATTTTTAAATATATTTTTTTAGAGTGTAGAAACCGATTTTTTATTTTATTTAAATTTTTTTTATAAAATTTCAGATTATTTGCTAAAAGTTCGCCATACATCACTTTTTTGTAGGGCTTGTCATTTTTAAGCTATATCGATTTGAAAAAAAAATCGACAAAAAACTTTGACCCTTATCAAATGTTAGGCGAGATAAATTTTGAAAAAAATAAGTACGCAAAGTTGCTTAAAATTGCTAAGTCTCCACACCCACAAAGTTCCATAAGGTTCTGAGAGGGTGCTGCCAACCACTGGATGAGTTGGCGTGAAATCCGTCAGGTATAGAATATTTCGGTGAAAACCGGTAGGAAATGTGCTAGGTATTTCCTTTCCAACCGCAAGCGACCATACCTGCAAAACCTTGTTGCTTCAAGCGGAAAACGCGTCCAGCTTTTCACCCTGCCGCTGACGGCCATTGCCCAAATAGGCCGTTGATTCCACCGAAGAATTTTCTGTCATTTTCAACCACTAGCACGTGAAAGCCCACCTGGAACTGGACGATATGGATCAGGAAACAGTTCAGTAACTTGCCAATGCCGGCCGTGGAACGGAACACAAGAAGTGTGCTGCAGATACATACCTCGCAAATGTCCGATAAGGATTCCAGCAACTGACCTTCAATTTCCCGCTATTTGGACTACATTATTCCATGTAAAGTCTGGTCCACTTAGCATCCGGAAAATTTATTTATTCTATAGCAGCACCTGGTGCGATTTGGTATGTTCTAACAGCGTTTTGTTTTGAAAGTACACGTGTTTCAGTGGTTTGGTGAAAGTTTCGTCGTTTCGTCTTAATACGAGCAGTATTAAAAAAGTTGTACTAGATGGAAGACGAGAAAAGAAACGTGCATACAGTTTTGTTGGTTTTGTGTCCGCAGCTGCAAATTTCTTGCCAAATAATCAAATTCCGGGCGAAAACAAACTTCAATTTGCTGGGAACATCACCCCGTGCTGTGGCCAGATCAAGTTTTTGTCAGAAAACCTGCCTGATATCCATCTTTACATATGTTTCGTCGTCCACGAGAAGGCATCCTGTGTACTTCGTCAGAACCCGGTCGAACAACTTCCGGGCGCGTGTTCAGGCCACTAGATTCTGCTTCATCATCCTGTTCGGTTGCTTGGAGGCACGGAATGAACGGTAACATGCTCGCAGACAGGTCCTCCGGACGGTCCAACGGTACTGTATTTTTTTTGTTGTGAAATCCCGATCCGAGAGTCATGGGTTTTCTTGATCGTCTGCAACACCTTCCAATTTAGTTGCCGATTCAAAGTTCCAGCACAACGTTTGCTGTGAACCTTCCGGGCAACACTCTTGCGATCACGTAACCGCATGAGAACAGCTCCCACGATAGCTATAAATCGAGAAACTATAGAGTTTCAATTAGATAGCTCCTAGGTTTCTCTGACAGCAAATTGTGCAAAATGATATTAATTAATGACAAACCACAAGCGAAAATTTGTCTGACCCCTTATGAAGATACACAAATACATTGGTAGTCTTTTTGGTCACAGACGCGCTTTCATCGCTTAAAATTCGGTTCGCCAACTAAGCGAAAGAGTGATTCATATAATATTTTGATACAATTCTAAAACACAAACAACGTGATACCTTTGGGAATGCTTCAAATAATACTTCTATGTGATAATACTAAGACGAAAGTATGCGTTAGCTCGTGTAAGAGCGTCAAAGCCAGGAGGAAGAAGATATTCCTAAATCCCTTTCACTATTTTCATGGAAGTCCTTAACATTTTTCATGAAAACTTCATAGAATTTCTAATTAGAAATTTCATTATTTTCTCATTCCAAATCTATAAAATTACCGGAGCCTTAAAGATGTCAAGAATAATGATTATTTTTCCAAAAACCGGACTTAAAATTAAGAATATTGGTGAAGTTTGCCCGTTATGGCCATGCTTGGCATACACAGTTTTGATCACGAACTACTCATTTGCTAATAACTTTGCATACAGTTGACGAAACATAGTTCTTTTTGAAGCAGTAGAAAAATAAAGTTTAAGCTTGTTATAGATACGTAAAAAAGTAGATTTTAATTTTAGCAATAAACTGTATTTTTTGTTTTTGCGTTGTAAAAATGAAATGAGAAATGCTCGCTGCACATCTCGGTCTTAAAGCGTAAAAATCCATTGGTGTTGATTCAAATGTTATGATTGACCTACTCTTTGCATATCTACAGTAAACTATGATCCTAATCTATCAATTACTTAAAAGAAACCCAAATTTCAACAACTGAGTGAAAAGTTATTAACAAATTAGCAGTCGATGTGTACCACTGTGCATGCCAAGCATGGTTATTAGACTGATGCAAAATTTGAAATTTTCGCTCCACAGTGCTTAAACGGTTTCAAATCAGGTCCTGATTAGCCTCCCAAAATTTAAACTCATTTGGTAAGAAACTGACTCAGCACAAACTATTCGAAGTTTATATGGAAATAACTATGGGAAAACCAAACTTTTTGTTCATTGTCTTCTACCCATTTTCGATATTGCTTTTTCGAAAATTTCTATAACTATTCTTACGGGAAATTTTCTAAGCTACAACTTTGCCCAAGATCGTTTTTCAGCCAAATGTCAAATTAAATTGTTATAAATTATTTAAGAGATTGATAATCTTATGGCATGATCAAGCAGCTGTTCTGTAGGCAACACTGTATTCTGCAGTGTGACATAGTGGCCATGATTTTTGTCCTCTATTCTACGCGCCATAAACACTAATGTTGCCTGCTGAACAGTTGATTGAGCATAATCATAAGACATCAGGGACTTGAATCATTAATAACTTTTGTTCTTTACATTTGATTGAAAAGTGGTTTTCAACAAAGTTGTAGCTGGGAAAATTTGCTATAATCACTGCTATCATTTTTAAAAGCATAGTGATGCGGTGAATTTTTATATAGATATGATCAAAAACATAAGTTTTCCCATATTAATTCCCATATAAACTTGAAATGGTTTGTGCCAAGTCAGTTTCTTACTTAAGTAGTTCAAATTTTAGGAGGCTAAGCAGGATCTAATTTGGAACCGTTTAAGCACTGTGGAGCGAAAAATTCAAATTTTGCATCAGTCTAATGGTTATGGTACTAGTGTTCCCTTAACACGCCGAACACGATGCCTCCGGTAAAAAGTGTAACGGCAAATTGACAATGTATGAAAAATCATTGGTCAGCAATTTATCGATAGATTTGAAACCTATTAATACCGAATAAATATTAAGAGTCAATAGATTTGAAATTCGTCAATCAACGGCTGGGCTATGATTTTTTGAACATTGCAAGTTTGCCGTTACACATTTTACCCGGAATCATCGTGTTTCCTGGCGAAGAAACCTTGATGTAATGACAATTTGAAGGTTTTAGGCCGTATGTCCAATTAGAGGACATAACTGGCACACTTCTCCTATGCGTTCCCACGTGTTTTAGGTACTGTGCCTACTTTATAAATTGGGCCGAATTCGGCCATTTACTGCCAACCTAAGCATGTGCAATAATTTTTGATACGCATGTACTATTTGTAGAAAATAACTCAAGGAGTATTTGTCTAGAGTATTTGAAAACGCTAATTCAATCGCAATCATTTCGGTGATACTTCGGCGGTGTCTTTCAGAACATGAAGCACCACCGGGTTGCAAGCTCGCTGCTCTCATACACGCCTCATAAAGAGTGCGGTACCTAAAAAACGTGACGTGGTAGGGTAAAAGTAGTTCCTAGACTTTAAATGTGTTATCAATAGATCAACAATATAGAATTGTTTTTTATTCTTCAAATTCGTCCAAATTCGTCTTAGGTATATGAAATAAAATCACAAACTTTCGAGGTTTTTTTTAGTTGAAACATTATTTTGCCTCTGCTAATTTTGACGACGATAGATTATTGACTATTTCCATACTGATGAATACATAAAGTCACTCATACAAATACCATCACGTTGTTATCAATCAACTTACCGAATTAAAAAAAAGCGTCGAGCCAAGTTATTCCCAAAAACAAAAATCTGCTGACCGGCTTCAAATTCAAATTTGCCAATACACACAACCGAAACCGCTTGCGATGGTTTGTTCTCACTCTGCTGTTTACGCAAGCTGATTTCCCTGCGCGTGCACCACGAGTTGAACGAACGCCACCACAGATCGACAGAGACTGATCTCCCACAGTCGGGACGAGACGTTTGTTTTTGATTCGCCATTCATTGCGCGCATTCATTCACATTACGCCCCCTTCGCTCATTCGGTCTGCTCTAGAGAGCAATCACAATGCCAAGATGCTAGATTCAATTTGCTAGATGTGGGTGTGGAAAACAAACATGGATAGAAGTAGCATGGTGTGATGGTACCAACACTACTAGCCCGCTAGAACCCACCGGCTCGTCGCTGTATTTGCATTAGTTACTCAACATAGTATGGATTCATGTTTGCTTAGTACAGACCTACTGTTGACAGATTGCATTCGTTTACTTAACTGTGATAAAAATGTAATGTTTGTCTTTTTTTTCAACTCAAACCATGAGTTTATTGCTTAATTACTTCTTCGCAGCACGATTTTGAGCAAGCCTGTCATGATACATGGCGGCCAGTATATCGGAACCCTCCTGATTGGTGGCCTTGTAGTAGGGTAGTTTCTCCAAACGCTCGACCCATCCAGCCAGCTTGGGGTATTTGGTCTTGTCAATCGGGAAAATAGCATGGATCGAAGCGATACTAGCGATGCAGCTCAGATCCGCCAGGGTAAGCTTGTTTCCAACGACGTAATCGTCAACGAGTGTATCGTTCAACAGCTGGTAGGCCTTGTACAAGTAGTCGATCTTATCCTGCGGCGTCTCCGTGCTTCCATAGTACAAGATTGGTTCCTGTAATTATAGGATATTTTTAAATTTATTTATTTTTGATAACGATTCACCTATGGTTTCCGTAAGGTTATCAATCGCACTTACCACGTAGAAGCGAAGTCTGGCGAAGAGCACACCCGAATCGAAGTGAAGCGCCGAGTTGATCTTGGCCCGAGTTACAATATCCTGCGGATAGAGCGCATCATCCTTTCCGTACTTGGTCACCAGGTAGATGATGATGGCGTGACTGTCGTATATTATCGTTCCATCGTCATCGACAAGTAGCGGAATCGTATGCTGGGGATTCATCTAGACGCAAGCGAATCAGCGAGATCAATTGATGAGGTTAATTCACAGCGTTTCAAGGTCAAATCCAATCAGTTGCTTGAGTTAGATACCAACCTTGACGAAATCCGGCTTCAGATGATCGCCTGCGATCAGATTGATCGGATGAACTTCCAGATCCAATCCCAGAGCCTTTGCGGTCAGCTCAACTGAGCGTCCCGGAGGGCTTAGCTTTGCGGTGTACAGCTGAATCTTGCCCATGGTAACTTGAGAAGCGATTGCGAAAAATGTTCACTTAACGAATGCCGGATTCGCACTGACTCGTTTGCTAGAATCAGTTACATATATGCGAATCGTTGTTGCTACTGTGCATACCAATCTACCGTTGTATAGATGGAGGTATGCATGAGCCAAAACAACCAAACACGAGCCATCGAGAGTTTGCGTGTGTGTTGAATACAAATAATCTGACAACGATACTGATTTTTGCTTCAAAGATATCCGTGCTTATGAATTAGTATTTGATGCGAGATGTTGTCACCTATTATTTATCACTTGTAGTGTACCGAAATTGGAGTAAAATATGAACATAGTTTTATCAAAGTCATGTTTCCTTTTGAAATTTCTATAGACGTACAACGTAAGCGTTTTCAATTTTATCTTTTTGCATAAATTAGAGCAGTTCCACGCCAAATGACGAATCGATCTGATGCGACCTTCTCTGATTTATTTGTGAATCTTTGCATATTCACTAGACTGATGCAAAATTTGACTTTTTCGCTCCACAGTGCTTAAATGGTTTCAAATCGGGTCGTGATTAGCCTCCAAAAGTTACAACTCATTTGGTTAGAAACAGACTTCGCACAAACCATTTGAAGTTTACATGTAAATTACTATGGGAAATCTCAACTTTTTGTTCATTGCCTTCTAGTCTTTTTCCATATTGAGCTGCAAAACAACTCGATAGCTATTCTTATAGAAAAAAAATTCAGCTACAACTTTGCTGAAGATCGTTTCTATGTAAAACGAGACAGGAAATAGTTATTAATTATTTAAGAGATTGGTAAACTTATGACATGATCAAGCAGCTGCTCTGTAGGTAACACTGTATTTTGCAGTGTGACATAGTAGCCATAATTTTAGTGTCCTATTCAACGCCCCAGAAACACCAATGTTGCCTGCTGAGCAGTTGATTGAGCATGATCGTAAGACATCAGCGCATTGAACCATTGATAACTTTCGATCCTTGCATTTAATCAAAATGTGGTCTTGAGCAAAGTTGTAGCTGGAAAAATTTTCTACAAGCACAGATGAAATTTTTTGAAGCAGACTTATATGGTGAATTATTAGGTAGACATGAACAAAAATCTTGGTTTTACCATAGTAATTCCCATACAAACTTCAAATGGTTTGTGCCATCTCAGTTTCTCACCAAATGGGTTCAAATTTTGAGAGGTTAGTCAGGATCTGATTTGGAATCGTTTAAGTATTGTGGAGCAAAAATTTCAAATTTTGCATCACTCTAATATTCACATTTTTGTTCGGTCTAGGAATTTTTTGAGTTGGAAAATTTCTCGACTTCGCTGGACATAGAATATGATTAAACTTGCCACACAATTATACTAAAGCTGGGCTTAGGCAAGTCAATGGATCAAGTCAGTTGAATTCAACTGACCTGAACGCGAATTGAACGTGTAAACCATGCCATTCAACCACTAGCGTGCTAGGAATCTGGTTAAGGAGGGGCATTTTTTTTTCTTTGGTGCATTTAATCTGAGGATGGGGAGTACTCCAAACTACGTCGTAGATGGTGCTGTCTTCCTCCCACTTTTTCTCTACTGTTAAATTTAGCTCATTTTACTTATTTTTTGCTCCGGTGGTGGTTCATCTTCTTAAATGCAAACTGCTTTCAGACAGCCAATGGAAATTGGCAATTTAATCCCATCGACGATGTCGATGATGATCGGTTCGTCAAATGGTTGCGATAGTAGGGTTTCATCCGAAATTATACATTTGCTGCAATTTTGTTGCCTTGGTGGTTGCTGAAGTCACGTCAGTTGGTGGTGATAGCATCGACAAACCGAGATGAATGACTAATAAGAATCGCATTCTCCTTACGCATGCACACTGCGTCGACAAGTACAAGGCTCAAACAGTGCACATAGCAGTGAACAAACAGTATAGTGCTCTTGATCAATCCAATCTTGATCAGTGATATTGAGTGCTTAGCAATTATAACGGAATTACAAGGAAACAAACCAACACACTCAAAACTGTTCATTGACATTTTCAGAGAAGATTCTTCGACGATTTTTTAGTAAGACAACAATCGACCAAGGTTCAATGGCAAACTTATACCCACTTTTCAATTAGAGAATCCAAAAACTTTTTTTTAGAACTCTATGAGCTCTTTTGAAATTATTTTCAGAAGTCCTCTGGAATTACTTGACTTTTACTCAGAACACCTTAGAACTGAAATTCCCTTAGAGTTTCAGAAGAATTTCCCCGGTATTATCAAGAAATTATTCAAGGAATGAGCTAGAAATTATCGGTACTCCCTTGAAATTTTCCTTAAAATCCCTTTGAAATTTCATTCAAAATTTAATTTTCTCGGTATTCTTTTTGGAATTATCTTGGAACTATAACAGGATTCACTAGAAACTATTCGCAGAATTTTCTTGGAATACTCCCCAGAAATTCTTTGGGACTGTCCTCAGAATTCAATATCCTTGAGGATCTTCTCGGATTTTTTTAGAACTCTCCTAAATTCTTCTCAGAAGTCCACTGGAATTATATTTAGAACTCTTTATGATTTTTTTTTCAGAACACCTTGGAACTGAATGCGCTAGAAATTTTCCTCGGAATTCGCTTGAAATCTTTGCTTAAAATCCCTTTGGTATTCTTTTCGAAATTTTCTTGGAACTATCTGCAGGATGTACTAGAAATTGTCCGCAGAATTTTCTTTGAATTATCTCCAGAAATATTTTGCAACTATCCTAGGAATTCAATATCATTGAGGTTCTTCTCGGAATATTTTAGAACTTTTTTTTCTCAGAACACCTAGGAACTGAAATTCCCCAAAATTTTCAGAAGAATTTCCTCTGTATTCTCCAGAAATTCTTCCCAAAATGAGCTTGAAATTATCCTCGGAATTTCCTTGAAATTTTCTCCAACATCACTTTGGAATTTCATTCAAAATTTGATTCTCTCGGTATTTTTTTCAAAATTATCTTGGAACTATCTGCAGGATTCACTAGAAATTATACGCAGAATTTTCATGGAATCATCCCCAGAAATCATTTCTTTTGGAACTTGTCTTCAGAATTCTTCTCGGAAGTCAAGCTTAAGTTGTCCGTCCATTCACCAAAACGTTGTAGTTTTTTCTACCAGAAATGTTCAATAAAGCTTGCCCCTCCATTCACCAGAACTGTGCAATGTTTGCATCAGGAATTTTCAATTCAGCTATCGCCTCCATGCAGCAGGTTGCTGCAAATCTTGCACCAGAAATTTTCAATACAACTTGCCCCAGAAAACATTACACCAGAAAATTTCAATTGACCAGAACGATGCAAATTTTCCACCGTTAATGTTCAATAAAAATTGTTCTCCAATCTTCTGATTGGTGCAGATATCCTTTTTCCATTTTTCACCAGACATTTTCAATATAGCTTGCTTCTCCTATCATCAGAATGTTGCAGGTTTTCCACCAAATAAAGGTTGCCACTATTTTCAGATTTTTCAGCATAAATTTTCAGTAAAGCAGCTTCCCTCCAATCATAAGAATAGTGCAAATTTTACACCAGAAATTATTATTAAAGTTTATTCCTCTATTGAGCAAAAGGATGCAAATTTGAGACCAAACATTTTTCGAAAAGCTTGCCCATCCGTTCACCAGAACGGTGCAGATTTTCCTCCAGTAGTTTTCAATATAGCTTAATATAAATAAAGCTTGGGCCTTCATTTACCAGACCAGTGCAAGTTTTCCACCAGAAATTTTCTGTTCATTTCATTTATCAGAGAGATACAAATTTTGCACCAGAAATTTTCAATAAAGCATGTTCCTCCATTCACCAGAACGGTGCACCAAAAATTGTCAGTGAAGATTGTTTCACCATGCACCTTTGTGGTGCAAATGTCAGGCTTTGCTTCTTCATGCACCAGAATGGTGCAAATTTTCCACCATAAATTTTCAATGAAGCTTGCATTCATCAGAACTATGCAAATTATGCACATGAATAAACCTTGCTTCTACAAGTGTTGCAAACGTTCCACCAGAAATTTTCAGTTAAATGTGCAGCTCCAAATTTTTTGCATGATTCAATTTTTCCACCAGAATTATTCATTGATGATATTTTTACACCAGAATTATTCAATAAAAAGCTTTTTCTACAATTTACCACCACGAAGGTGAATTTTTTCAACCTTGAATTTACCCTCTTCTTTTAACCCTCCATGAACCACTTTGAAAAAACAAATTATACCAGATTTTTTTTGTATGCTCCACTGTAGTGCAATTTTTTGAACAAAAAAATTCCTTGAAGTTTGTCCATTCATGCACCTTTGTGGTGCAATTTTCAGACACCATCTCAAAATAATTGACGCAATAAATGGTTTTCAGTGCCCTTATAGTATGAAATGAAGTTATTAACCTTCAAATCAATTTATCAAGAACTCAAGTTATTTTATATCATAATTTGGAAATGTGGAAATAAACATCTTATACATAAAAGGAGGGGCAATTGCCCCACCTTGCCCCACCCTGTGCACGCCAGTGTCAACTGACTTGATCAACTCACTTGAATTGAAAAAAAAGTTGAACCAGACTCAACTTTTCAAGCCAATTGAATTCAACTGAGTTGATCATTTGACTTGCCTAGTCTAAGCCCAGCTTAATGAAAAATTGGTACAGGCATCGAAACCTCTCAATTAATAACTGTGCACGCAGGAAAAAGAACGTAAGAATTCCATAAGAAACACTTACGAATTTTAGCCATAAGAAATGAGTGTGAATTCCATTGATTTGCATTATGAAAAATAATGTTGACAAAAAATAATAAATCGGAGCAAACTGAAACCGGCAATTGGAAGTTGAGGTTAGGGGGCGCGTGTGTTGACCATTCGTCTTTCAACGCTTGGGAAAATGAAATGGTTAAAGGTGTATAAGAGCTACCTCATGTTACTCGAAAATCATTCATAAGTCATGCTTATAAAATCATATATGTTGTTCATAAGTCGAGCCTTATGAAATTCTTAGATCCATTTGCCTCAGTGTGGAAGTACATCTAGAGCACTACGTTGAGAGCATGCA